TTTATTGTCGTAAACTTCCGTAGACCAGCCAGATCAATATACATCAGTATCATGATGCATAAAAAAGTTTCTGCAGACTTCACAACCGATTAGCAATTGTTTAGCTATGAAAAAATGTCCACAGAACATTGGATGATAAGTCAAGTGACCTTTTCATTTCAACACTGATTCGGCTAGGCCGTGATGAAATTAGATCACTATTTGATTGATGTGGTTGGCCGAAAAATAGGAACGATTTTAACCGCTCTCTGTGAAGTGGTACGTACAAATCATGAGCGATCAACGTGATAATTTTGCATGATATAATAGGTCTAGATTTGTTCTTCACAAATTCAAATTTAGACCTATTATATCGTGATATATAGGCTATGTGTCTGCTGGCAAGATGAGCGATTAATTTATAAAAAAATAGAGCAAATGTTATTTCAAATCATATGCCCAGCTTGCATCAAAGTACAGTTTTTAATGTTGTGGTCATTCAAACGCTTGGACTTAATGTGCCCTAGCACTCTTTAAATGTCTACTGGAATAGAATGTGTTTTAAGTAAGATCATCATGTAAGTCGTGATTCGAACGACTTTTCAAGTAATTTTCGAAACATTGAAGAGAACTTTAGCTGGTGAATATTGATTCCAAACACATATGCAGTGTAATTGATTGTTTCATAAAATGTATAGATTTTTCAGGCAACGACGCTCGTGGACGTTATAGTGAACAGTTCAGAAATTGTGGATTTACCGCCTCGTTTTGAAGCACACGACTACAATTTTGCAATTTACGAAAATGCAGAACCACAAACTATTACCGTATTACATGTGAGTTGCGTTTTGGTTACTTCTTGATCGTCCATTGAGCTATCATAGAGCTGTATGAAACACTGTTCGTTTGTTAGCGTTTACTGAGCTGGTCAAGAGAATTTCATCAACATTTTTCAATGAAGTTTGAAATCTATTCCGCAAGGTAGGGGATGCTCAGATCAGCTGCTTCGAGAAGTATCAACTATAGGTGGTAATCTTGTTCGTGATATGATCTGCGATAGATCACTTCTTTATACAGGAACTGTTCAAGTATTGTTGATAATGCTCGTTTGTTATCGTTTATTAAATCGCTCAAGAAAAACTACTTCGAACATTTTCGTAAATGTGAAATGATGAATGCGTACTTTTAACACTTTTAGAAGGAGAGAACTGGTCAAGATTTTTGAGAGGAGACTTGCTAATTTCAGGCTTTTCATCCACTTGCAGACGACGATCATCCGATAGTATACGACATTTTGGATGATCCTGTCAATCTGAATCTAAAATCTGAATACTTCTCAGTTGATAGTTCAACTGGAGAGTTACGCTCACTGCAACCATTCGATTACGAGCAGAAACAATTCTATCGATTTGAGGTCACTTTTAACAGTTCCCATCGTTTGCTCGTATGCCGCACAAAAAAATTCAATTTCTTTAGGAAATTTTCTTCAAGCACATAAGAAACTTCTGATAGTTCCATCGTTCAATCAGAATGAGCGGTGAACCGAACTGTCACATTGGCAACCCGGTCTGTTATTCTATCAAAGTATATTATCGCATAGCGTGTCTCTTAGGATTAACCAAATCGTGCACCTGCAATACGAAAGCCAATTTCAGTTGTTTAGAGCAATTATCATTGATTGAATGAGGTAACGTGCAATGATGCGACAATTATGACGATTGCTTATGCAAGCAAATAGCAATTGTTCACTATGCTTGTCAATTGATTTCTTTTATGAAAGAGAAGCTATCAATGGCTCAACTGTAATTCATTAACAAGGCGATAGTATGAGTCCCACTTAACATGAAGTAGTAAAATGAACAAATTGCACAACTTTCCTCAACGGTCTTTGAATTTTTGCATCGTGTATCATTCATACACTGCCATCTGGTAGAAAATCCTGAAATTCATTCAACTCAATTCAGGTTGTACCATTCGTTCTGAAAGTACATTTCAAGGAAGCATTTTTGACGTTAAGCGAAATATAATTTAGACGTTTCGAAAATAATTATATGAAGAAACAATTGTGCTGAAATAAATTGGAGCAAACAATTCAATCCAGTTTGGATCCACTTTCAGGTGTCAGCATGTCTTCAAGGTAATAAAACGTCGTGTGGTTCGTGTAAAGTGACGGTATCAATCAACGATGAAAATGACAATAGTCCTCAGTTTCAACAACCCTCTTATTCNGTTGATCTTTCAATTGATACTCCTGTTGGCACCGAGGTTGCTCGTTTCATTGCAACTGATGCAGATTCGGGAAACAACGCTGATATAAGTTATGCTCTGAAGACACCCTCTGGTTAGGTTTCGTCACTTTTCTTTCTAAAGTCTTCCAGAATCGTGTCACTTTCTTCCGTTCGACGAGGCTTATCAATTCAATAACAAGTGCTCTTTTCACGTTTCAGTTTGCCTATTCAAAATTTTTGTCCGTATCCAATTAATCAAATTTGATTCATCCAAATGATTTTTTCAGCAATGTTCTCGCTGGATTATCAAAGCGGATCACTGGTAACGGTGCAAAAATTATCGAAATCT